GAGCCCCAGGACTGCGAGCTGGCCTCCTGGGACTCGGAGAAGGAGTCGCAGGCCGAGGCGTGGGACGGCCACGCCCCGCTGGACCCCGAGGGGGATGAGCTGTCGGAGAGCTCCCTGAGTGTCTGGGAGCCAGGGGCCCCCAAAAAGCATAGAGGTACGTGACCCGGCACCCCTGCAACCGACCGCTGACGGCTTTGCTCCTGTGCTCGTTTCCAAGCTTCTGGTTCTCCTTGTCTGTGTTCTTTCCCTTCCCTGCAAGCCATCCCACCCTGCGTTCCCAGCACACACGCCTGGGCAGGGGATACGGGGTGGGGCTTCAGAGTCCCTCTGAATAAATGGTGGGGTTCATGCTTGGAGGGACCCCTCCTCTGTCTGCCCCACCCCCCAGAATAGAACGAAACCAGGCAGAGACAGGGTTCCCCTATGTGTGGAGCTTGGCATCTCTGCTCATTGGTGCCTCTCAGACGCCCCTCCAACCAAAAGCAAACCACACCTCCCGCTGGAACCTAACCCTCCCCTGGAGAGAGAAGCTTCCCAGAAAGGGAACCAATCAACTTAGTGCGTGTCCGGACGAGGTGATCACTTCATTAGAATGACCCGCGCCTCCCTTAGCTCTCAGCCAGGCCTCTAATGTGGGAATTTCTCCCCGAGCCGGCACTTTGGACAACGGACGGGAGGGGACTTGCGGAGGGAGTGGAGTCTGGGCCTGGGGCCAGTTCCAGATGTGACTTCAGGACTCACTGAGGCTCAGCTTCCTCCTCTAACCAGGGATGTGCCCGCCGCTCTGCCCTCCTCCCTCCAAACACTGCCCGCCAGGCAGGAGGGAGACCCGGTGGGGAGGACGCACGGACCTGAGCCGAGCTGGAGTGGCGGGTGTGACTGGTGTCAAGTCCTAGGCCCCCGAGTGCGTAGACGGCAGGAAATGCCAGGCGGGAGCCTGGTCAGCTGTCGGGCCTCGGCCTCTCTGCCCCGTGGCTCGTGGTGCTCAGACAGGCGGGTGTGCCCAGGGACATTAGCCGTGTCGGGACAGTTTCATTGTCACAGTGAGAGTGGGTGCTGCTGGCTCAGGGGTGCTGCTCAGCAGCCTGCCGTGCTCAGGACAACCCCAGCCGCACCCGTGGCCCCGGGTCCGGGGTGGGAGCCCACGATAGGGCATCTGTGTCCATCCTCACCACCTCCGTCCCATTCGCTTCATGCCTTTCCCGTGAGCCACCCTCTAGCCGGGCCATAGACGGGAGGAGCTGAAAGTTAGGAGAAGAGAGAAAGGAGGCGGTTCCTGGTGTCTAGACCCTGTGATGAAGGTCCGCGGGCCTCCATTCGCCTGCTGCCTGGTCTTGGGTGCATCATCCGTGGACCGAGTCTTGTGACTGGAGTGACTTGGGAAGCTGTGGTCTGTGCACTGACCTCTGGGCTGGGTTTTGGACGAGGCAGCGCGGCTGCCGGCCCACAGGGCAGCACCCCTGCTCTGGCCTGGTCTTTGTCCAGGGCCAGGGCAGCCCCAGGGAGCTCACCTGGCCCGAGGCAGGCAGGTGGGCTGCCCCTTCCCTCCCTTCATTTCCACCCTCAGAACCCAGACCTCCCACCCCGCCTCCTGGGTCACTCCGAAAGGCCAGCCTCGCTGACCCAGGTCCATTCCCGGACCCTGATCCTCCTCCCCCCCTCCCCCGCTTCTCCTCCCCTTGGGTTTCCATCCCTGCTGTGTGTGGCCCTCCCGCTCCTTTCCCGTCGCCAGCCAGGTGGCTGACACCCTCCAAAAGGCACTTTTGGGGACCGAGGTGCCAGGCAGGTGTGGGGCCCCCCGCTTCCAGCTCTTGCCCTGAGCGCCGCCTGAAGTTGGCATTTGGGGTGGCTGTGAGGATGTGGAGCCTGGGGCCCTGCAGACGGGCTTTAAAGGGACAGGCAGGGCGGGGATTGAAAGCTGCTCCTCGGTCCCAGTGCTCGAAGCGATTGGCACTCGGCCCCTCGGAGATGGTGTCAGGCCCTCGACGTTTCCGTGATATGGGGGCCACATCCTTGCTGTTTTCCACCAAAATGTTTTGAAATGGTGATATAGGGAGCGGGCCTAAAGCTTATTGTTTTGGCTTAAGAGCCCGTATCTCCTGGGGTAGCAAGGAGTTCTGTGCTAGGTTTCCGAGTGTGGCTGCGTGTGCAGAATCCTGGGGCCTGCTGTTTGCAAATGTGATGCTGCAGGCAATACAGGAAATTTACTCCCCAAAGTCGGGCTTATGTTTAGCTCACACTGTGTTGACGTGGTTGCACGGCAACGGGAATGTACTTCCCACGCCTGACCCGGGCCCTGGCAACGGCTGAGGTGGTCGAGTGTATGTTGCGTGTGTTTTACTGCAACGAAGCACAAACGTGTGAATAAGCAAACAGAGGCTTGCCGAGTGCCCTGCCCAGTGACTCGCGTGTGTGTGTCATGTCAGTGCTTCAACACTCACTGTCTCTCATTCTCATTTTGCTCTCGCATGCTTGCTACCTCCTCTCCATCTCGTGCTCATTCCCTTTTACTAAGAGGATCGCTATGCCAACCAGAATTAATTGCCTGCACAGTAAGTTGTCTTTGTCTTATATGTATTTTAAAGTGTAGCCTTGCTATGACTGTAACATAGCAGGGATCCATCCCCGTCCCTTCCTTTCCCCCTACCTTTCTAGTTTTACTTCCCCGGGTGCTAGTTCACTTCCCTGCTCGGTTAGTGTAGCGCCTTTGTCTTGGCCAATCTGGGGAGGGCATGTCTCTATTACCTGTTGGGCCCAAACAACCTCGCTAGATGTGCACACAGACTGGCCCCTAACTTCCTCCAGGTCTAAGGAGTGGTCACTGATGCCTGGGCAGTGTGGCCAGTGTCAGTGGTTGAGCGTTGACCCAGGCACCAAGAGTTCACCAGTTCAATTCCCAGTCAGGGCACATGCCCAGGTTGCGGCCTCCATCCCAAGCAGGGGGCGAGCAGGAGGCAGCCAATGGATGTTGGTGTATCTCTCTCTCTCTCTCTCTCTCTCTCTCTCTCTCTCTTCCTCTCTCAATAAAAAAACAAAAAAAACACATAATTTTTTTAAAAAAAAGCAGCCACCATGATACCCAGACCGTCTATGGGTCAGCCTGAAGCCCACGCTGCTCTTTGGGCAGCAGACTGCGGTTTATAAGGTTGCTTTGGTCAGTTTTCCTTACTATTAGGGTTTAAGGCAAATTCTGCAATGAGCTATTTATGTCTGTTAAACTCTGTGGAAACACAGGCATATATTTATTCAAGCTGTAACTTAGAAAACAATGTGAAAAATCCCTTCATATATTGTTTATTCTTCAGCCTTTAACTTTGCTAGAACCCTTCTTCCTGTCCCCCTTTACAGTTTTGGTTATTTGCCTCAAATTTCACATAACGCGGCTCCCAGTGTTACCCTCGGGAGTCGTTAAGGTGGTGGGTGAGTCTTGCTTCTTGCCTGTTGGGTGGAGCAGGCAGCAGGGATAAGGGAGTTGGGCTTGGAAAGCCCGCCAGCCCGGCTCCTCTCCAGACTCGGCCCAGAATCAGGTGCCGCGTACCAGGCTATTAGGCATCGTTGGTCAGGGTTCTCGGAGCACCAGAGCCAATAGGCTCCATACCAGGGAATGGGCTCAGTGACTCTAAGGGCTGACGGGTCTGAAATTGAAGGCGGGAGACGCAGCACGAGCTGACGAGGGAGTCTGGAGGCAGAACTTCTTTTCTCCGGGAAACCTTGGGTTTTGCTTTTTAGGCATTTAGTGGATTGGGTGGAGCCCATCCACAGTACAGGGTCATCTTCAGTTCAGGCCACCGGGGTGTATGTGCCCCCCATGCCCACCACGTGCCTCCACAGCAACACCCAGGCCAGGTTTGATGGGATCACCCGTGCTTGGGCCAAGCTGACACAGAAAACTGACCGCACAGTAGCACGAGCAAAGGCAGCTCCATTTAGTATTCCTCCCTGCTGAGGGGCTTGCTATGCTATGGCAACTAACCCCTTACCAGGGTGTTGTTCTAAGAGAGTCCACATGAGGGTGCTATAGCGACTAATCCTTCCCAGGGTGCTGTTCCAAGAGTGTCCACACAAGGGCACTATGGCAACTAATCCCTTACTAGGTTGCTGTTCCAAGTTTGTCCACAAGATGGTGCTGTCATGACTAATTCCTTATTAGGCTGCTGTTCCCAGTGTGCCCACAAGAGGACGCTACGGCGACCAATCCCTCCCAAGAGAGTCCACATGAGGGCACTATGGCAACTAATCCCTTACTAAGGTGCTGTTCCCAGAGCGTCCACAAGAGGGCGCTATGGCAACTAATCCCTTACTAGGGTACTGTTCCAAGAGTGTTCCACAGGAGGGTGCTATGGCGATTATTCCCTTACTCGGGTGCTGCGCCCATAGTGTCCACAAGGTGGCGCTGTCATGACTAATCCCTTTCTAGGGTTCTGTTCCCAGAGTGTCTACCAAAGAGCTCCATCACAACTAATCCCTTACCAGGGTGCTATGCCCAGAGTGTCCACAAGAGAGCGCTATAGTGACTAAGCCTTCATGGGGTGCTGTTCCAAGAGTGTCCACACGAGGGCACTGTGGCAATAATCCCTTACTAGGGTGCTGTTCCCAGAGTATCCACAAGAGGGCACTATGGCGATTAATGCCTTACTAGGGACATAGTGGGTATTTTTGTGAGTCTTGGCTGTTGAAGAACTTGTCAGACCTGTCTATCAGGAAAAGAGTGAATTGCCAAATTATCCATAAAGCTCCCTCTGTGATCTGCAGGTCTGTCTTCTTTCAAAGTCACTAACACCTCCATGAGTGGTAATGAACTCCACAGACTCGCTGGACAGGCTCCCTGACCTTGCTGGGCCTTGGTTAATGGGATGATAAGCTAATTTGTGAAAGGGTAAGATTAGTGAGTTCTGTTGTGTTAGCTTGCATTTGATCTTTAAGGAATCCTTGCTGTTGAAATTATTTGTGCTGCTGCTAATTTTTTTTCATTGCATATTCCACTCCCTATTACATACAGATTGGTTGAACCATACCAAATCAGGGGGTAGGGGGCTGGGGGACCCCAGTGGCCAAGGCTGTTGCCATCTGGTTAGAATCAATGATAGAAATCCCTGCCCTGGCGTGGATACCAGGTGATAGTCCAGCTCACTGCTTCTACTTTCATAATCCTCCTTTCATTTCATCTTGTGTTTTGCTCAAGCCAGACGCCAGCCGTTTTTCTCACGCAAACAGCGATGCTCCTAGAGTAATGAGCTGCTTATTAGATTCATTCGTGTCTCCTCTTTTCTTTTTCAACTTGGCCTAGTCCCTCCAGGTTCCTCTCGTCCACAGCCCCGCTGACCAGCCCCTGTGCTTTGCTCTTCCAGGAGGCATTTTAAGGAGAGGTGCCAAGCTCTTCTTCCGCCGGCGGCATCAGCAGAAGGACCCCAGCCTGAGCCAGTCCCACAACGACCTGGTGTTCCTCCAGCAGCCGGAGGGGGCCCGGAGGAAGGGGGCCACGCTCTCCAGGATCCTCAACAAGAAGCTGCTGTCCAAGCACAGAAGCAAGATTGCCATGAACGGCGCCCCCAGGGACCCCGGGGTGTAGGCCCAGGTGGGCGGCCTCCTTCGTGGCGATGCTGGAGATGTGGACCCGCTAACGCCCCGCCAGGACGGAGTGGGATGCCAGCGAGCTGGTCTAGCTGGGGCTTTCCCGGCAGTGTCGTTTTTTGAAGGGGAAGAAAAGTCCGAGTCTCCAGCCGGGAGATTTCCCCAGAGAGAACTGACCGAACCTGTTTACCACCCCCCGCCTCCAATGCCAGAGGAGAGGGGGGACTCCGCCACGCGGCTGAAGTTCAATGTCGGAAGGAGATTTACATTATGAACTAAAGAACACACTGCAGTGGGCGTGGATGGGCCAGGTTTGGGCCCCAGTTTCACCCACGCTCTGCTCTAACGGGTATTGTTTGGGGTCCACGCCTGGACCACGTCACAAGGAGCAGACGACCCTCTGTGCTGTCACTGTGAACGACGCGTAGGTCACCTCTTCTGTTGGCTGCTCAGGATAGAACAGTGCAGCGGGCCCCGGGGCCAGAGAGGTGGGGCGCAGGCAGATTTGGGTGAATAGAGACATTACGATAGGAATGGAAACACGATGACAAATGTGGGAAGACATTTGCCTTTGCTATTAGCCATAGAACTTGAAAAATTATGCAAATACTAAATATATCCTATGCATATTATGCTGAACACTTTTCTAAGTGTACGTTGAGCCTATTTACAAGTGGGAGATATATAAATTCTTATATGGTTTTTACACTTTCTCTAGTGTCCAAAGCTCTAGCGGTGGACTTTCCCCCTGTCTGGCTCACACGAAGCGGGGGTGCAGCACGCCTCTCCAAGGCACTTAGGAGCAGTAAGGGACAGCCGAGAGAACGTGGTACCCACACGCACATACCTGGATTTTCTCTCGTCCGACGTTGGTTTGCCAAATATTGCCAGTAGCTGAAACAAAGTACTTTTCGGGCAAAAGAGGAAATGATTTTATGTCTCAGGTGTGAGTCTTAGGAAGGGAAGTTTAGTGAAACACGGGCCAGGCTTGCATCAGATTCCTTCCAGGAGCTTGTCTGAATTCTACTGTGAACAGTCTTGGCAGACTTTGGGGGGGGGGCGGGGGTTATTTCCAGTGGAACAAATGATAAGCTTGCTATACAACTTGAGTATCCGCCGTGACTTTCAAAGCACTTCCCACGTCAGGAGCCACTTGGGTTCAGTCACAGTCGTCACGCTGCTCCGCTCCTGAAAGTGCCACTTGCGGGAAATGGGCTTGTTAACAGGAGTCGTCGTTAGCGTGAAGGGTGCTGACGGCTTAATAAGAGTCATTCCCCCCAATGAGCTTTAAAAGGCTGTTACGAAAACTCAACTTCTGTCACGGATGTGAATTTGGGGGGACTCCTTTGTGCAGACACTTTTGTTAATCCTTAAACATCTGTTTCAGGGGTCAGAGAGCTCTTGATGAGCTAAAACCTTTCTAAAACCAAAATTATAGAATCCTTTCCTTCCTTTATTTGGAGGGAGGAATTGGAAGACTGCATTAAGAATTTCACTTTAAAATGCATATTTAAAAATTCTTAGGTGTCCCAGGAATCAAGGGACCGTAAAGTGACTTTTTTTTTTAACCATACTTTGTTTTTAAAGATTATATTCCAATTTTAATCATTGTAAAATAGCACCTGGCATTATGAAATACATGAATACCAAATTCATCCCCACGGGTCAGCAATCACTACAGGCCTTTTAGGGACAGAGGGTCACTTTAACGTTGTTTTGCTGGAAGGATTCCTGTTCTTTCTCATGGTAAGCGGACATGTAACACGCATGAATTAATTCTAAGAGGACCGACGTGTGAGAAGATAAGACACTGGTCAGAAGTTCTTAGTACAGTTCCACGTTTGTTTAAGTTTGGAATTGAGATGGACTCGATCAGCTCTGATACCCGTGAAGGTATCAGAGTTTTAGACTGAGTTTTTCTCGCTCTCAAAAATCAAAACACAACCACAACGTTTTAGCCATTGCTGTTCCCAGATCGGCCCCAGGAGCACCCTGTCCACTGTTCACTGTCTTCGCCAAGGGCTCCGCTTCCTCAACTTCCTCGTGACTTGAAACCTCTCCAGGCTCCTGGGAAGGTGCCCAGCGGGCGGGCCCTGTCTCGCCCTCGTGCGTGAAGCGAGTGAGTGGACACGGACAGAGAGCACGCCGTCATGGAGATCCATGTTTCTTCGTGTCTGCTGGGTGCACGTGAGACCTCTGTCCTGAGTTTGATCCAGGAGCCCGTCCTCCAGGCGCACACACTGGTCGCCATCCCGGCCTCTCCTGACGTTTCAGAGATAAATGTAGCGGGAGCAGAAGGAGCGATGCCGTCAGGCGGCCCCGCCAGGCAGGGCTGTGTCAATACTGTGAATGTTTCCTTCCCGAGCTGTGTATCCAGGTTTGTTTCTTAAAGGTGTCGGGTATTTATGTTAAAGTCCATGTCACTAAGGTGTAATACCAATTACGATTACACACCGGATACAAAACACACTAATTTGTGAATCACCGATCCCCTTACCCTTTCCGCACGCTTTAGTGGCGTGAGGGCTCGAGTTTTGGTTTTGATGAAATTTTTTCAGAGTGATTCCTCATGAACACTAATCGGTCCGGTCCATCTGGACCCGGAGCACACGCTGGCTTTAACACGCTGGCCACGCTTCTGCGCTTTGCGTAAGGACGCCCCTGTGGTCTTTGTGGAGGAACGAGATGGAGTTTGCGCCTGCTTTAATGTGGCATTAACGAAAGTATCCGTCTTGCTGTTCTGTTCAAGACCAGCTGTGAGGGAGGTTTAGACAGAGACGCCACTTAGACCCAGGCTCAAGTTGAAGTTCAAAGCCAGCCCCGGGTTCCTGGGGATGGCTGCCAGGCCGGGCGCAGCCAGCCAATCACAGATTAGAAGCCTGCCCAGATTGTGATTGTGCTTCTGGCCACATGGGGGGCAGAGTCACAAATCTTGAGCAGGAGAGAAAGGTGAATGTGCACTGCTGCCGCCCAGGGCGATGCTCCCTGAGTAATAGTCTCACGGCCCTGGGAACCTCACCGTACAAGCTGGCGGGCACTGGGGGTCAGGACGCTTACCTCTGCCAGGTGGCAAGCAGGTCTCGGCCTTGGCGCAGACCCCGATGCCACTGCCCAACCCCCCAGGCTGGGTACCAAAGCGAGGGGCACAGGGCCCCGCCCGCTAAGACCTGCACAGCAAACTCAGGTCCCCTGGGTCCTTTCCCGAGCATCCCTCCTTCCCGTGTGAGGAGGAACCTGCTCAGCCCGCCAGCTTCCCGCCTTCGGGAAAGTACCATTTATAACGGAGGCTGTGCTTTTTGTTGCCCGATGTCACACTGAAGTTACATTTTAACACAGGAGAAAATGAGGTTTTCTAGGGGAAAGGGTTGGCGTGCCCTTCGGTTGATGAATTTGCGTGACGGTGATTGTATTCCTTGGTAGCACTTTTAACCCGGTTCCAGGCCCGCGCCGGTCGTGCAGTGGGTTCAGCCGGCCGTGCAGTGGGTTCATCTGGAGAAGATGTGGCTGGGACATGGGTGCTCTTTAAAGAAATAAACGTGCACATGGAACACGGAAATCTGAGTTGTTTTTGCCGAGACCGTGAGCTCCCGCGTTTCTCTGAGCGGCCCAGCACCCGGGCCTTGGTTGTGTCGGCGCCTCAGCAGTGACCGTGACCGCACGCGACCGGCACCGTCAGCTGGCGGGAGGGGGGAGGTGTCCTCCTCCCTGGGCTCCTGCCCCGGCAGCAAAGGCGAAGGCCCTTCCTGAGAACATTCTTCTTGCACAGGTTTTAAGTCACTCAGCGCCTTGTTGTAGGTGTGGGGCTAACCCACTTACTAGAAGGAAACGTTTGCAGTGAACTCTCGGGTGGTGGTGAATTGTGGGGGCCGTGTGGGCTGGTCCCCCAGCAGCGAAACCGGGCACAAAGTGGCTGTGGGACCCTTGGTGACCCCCCGAGACCTGAGGGGCGCTGTCCCCTTGGAGTGGAAGCTTTTACCCCTGCATTGACCCTCCGTCAGCCCTGGCCCATGGGGCAGCGGAGGGGGGGTGAGAGCAGCGGTCGCCGGGAGGGATGGGTCTGCACCACAGGGGCCTCACCACAGCTCCCGGGTGGGTGGAGCAGCTGGGTGTGTCCCCACAGCCCGTGCAGGCTGCTCCCCAACCAGGTCCTCAGTTTCTCTGTCCTTCAGCTGCCTTCCCCTGCTGTGCCCAAGCGTGGGAGCATTTGTGAGGGCCGGGGCACTGGGGACTCCTCCAGCCCCTCCCCCCCCCTTCCTCTCGGGGCTGTCCTGCCCCCACCTGCCCCAGGCAGATCCACAGCTTTGCGTTTGGGGTAAGAGCACGCCTATGGGAAGCCCCAGCTGTTGGGGGCTCGGATTTCGGACTCAAGGTGCGAACGTGGCGATGGCCCTGGGTCTTGTTTGGGACCGAGGGTTCCGGGCTTGGGTTGAACTGCTGCTTCCTGTGTGGCCGGGCCCAGCTGACGCTCCAGGAGGAGGCTGGGTGGCCTTCTGCAAGCCCACCTGTCCTAGTCACCAGCTCCCTCACCTGACCTCCCTGTCACCGCCAGGGGGACACCGTGTCCTTGCTAATCCCGTCTACACCGCCCCCTCTGCTTCAGCTGTGGTTATTCTGGAGTACGAACCCCTGTCTCCAGCATACACCCCCTCCCTTTCCTAATGTTTCTAATAAACTCAAGCCCTCCCTGCCTTCCCCACGAAGTGGCTTCGACCACCAAGTGTGACCTGGGTGCTCTGTCAGCCCTGTATCTCTCTCCTGTGCTCGCTCCCCTCCCCAGCGAGAATGTGAGTGGCCCTGTTCCCTGGCAGATGTCAGCTGACGGCAGGATGGGTATCAGCGCACACAGCTTACACCCATCCTACCCCACCCGTGGGGCCAGGTCAGGGGCCAGAGCCCGACACTTGGGTGCACGTGACAAAACATGCTGTTGTGGACCTCAGTCACTCTACACGCACAGGGTGCTGTGTGGATGTGTCAAGAAGTCATTTGTTTAAAAGAAAAGTGGATCACTCACCACAGAGGGCTGGATACCAGCTGGATGACCGAGTGCAGTGCCCGCGCTGAAGAGGAAGTGCCAGGCCAAACCTCCTCCCCGGGTGACCTGGAAACACCCACTTTACACGTGTCCCCCAGCTCACCTCGGCCTGTACCCCGACTGCCCAAAATGCACACTGCCAAGCTGTGCCCTGCAGGTGCCAGACATTCAAAACTACTGTGTTGATGTCATCCATATGGATAAGGTAAAGATAGATGCTCCGGTGGCTTAAATATAAGGTACATACTTGATATTTTATACAAAAGCTAGAGAGAGACTTGAGGGCACAGTGATACTGGCTAATACTAATTGAGCACTCACTATGTGTCAGTAATTTTTTCAAGTGTTTTACATATAATAGCTCCTGCATTCTTTGAGGTAACCCCGTAAGTTATGACCTAGCCTAGCTTTACAGATTGGAAAACGGAGGCACCAACAGGTTAAGTAACTTGCCTAAGGCCACACAGCAGATAAGTGGCAGGACCCGAACTTGAGCCCAGGCTGTCTGGCTGTAGAATCCCTGTTCAAAGCCACGAGTCTCTACCACCCTGTGTTGGAGAGAACAGGACTTGTGGCCTCATATGGTTTTTCCTGAACTTTAAGTGCAGTGCTCCCCGTATGGGCGAGAATACTACAAAGCGAGATGCAATGCTTTACACATAGTAGGATTTGAATGATCTGCTGATGACTTTATCCGTTATCTGGATGGGAAAACTGGCCAGATTGAAAACAAATGTTAAAAAGAGTATAGAAAAGTGGCTTAGGGCCCAGGGGCATGGCTCAGTGGTTCAGCGTTGACCTACAAACCAGGAGGTCCCGCTTCAATTCCTGGTCAGGCCACATGCCTGGGTTGAGGGTTCGATCCCCAGTGGGGAATGTGCAGGAGGCAGCCGAACAATGATTCTCTCTCATCATTGATGTTCCTATCTCTGTCTCTCTCTCCCTCTCCCTTACTCTCTGAAATCAATTAAAAAATACGTATTTTTTAAAAAGTGGCTTAGGATAGTCCTAGCCCTTCCTCTCTGAAATCAATTAAAAAAATACATATTTTTTAAAAAGTGGCTTAGGATAGTCCTAGCTGATTTAACTCAGTGGATAGAACATTGGCCTATGGACCAAAGGGTCCCCAGTTCAATTCCCCAGGTTCGATTCCAGTCAAGGGCACGTACCTCGATTGCAGGCTCCTCCCTGGCCTGGCCTGGGGCCTGGTGTGGGCGCGTGCAGGAGGCAACCAGTTGATGCGTTTCTCTCCCAATGATATTTCTCTCTGTCTTCCCTTCTCTCTTCCACTCTCTAAAAACCAATGGAAAAATAGCCTCAGGTGAGGATTTAAAAAAAAGTGCTTATGATACATATGTCCACAATGTCTGGTAGTGACAGTTTTATACTTAGAGTCGTGGTGCACAAAATTAGTGCACTGGGGGCGGGGGTGGGGGGGGTTCCTCAGACCAGCCTGCGCCCTCTCGCAGTCTGGGACCCCTTGCTCTTTACCACCCACCTGCTCGCTGCTCCTTACTGCTTGACTTGCTGCTCCTTAGCGCTGCCACAGAAGCGGGAGAGGCTCCCGCCACCACCACCGCTGTGCTCACCAGCCATGAGCCCGGCTTCCTGTGGGAGCACCCTGACCACCAGGGGGCAGGTCCTGCATTGAGCATCTGCCCCCTGGTGGTCAATGTGCATCATAGTGACCACTCGTTCTGGTCATTCCACTGTAAAGGTCACTTAGGCTTTTATTATATAGATTAGCAAAGAACCAGAGCTGATGGGATGTGTCTGTGGGAAAGTACATGTCTAAGGCAGGCCAGTGTCAGGGCTGGGGTATCATCCCCATCTGGGGCCACACGGTGGAGTGGTTACACCTTAATGCCAGCTGTTGGGGAAGAATACCGTGTTCTTAGGAAAACCCACTGATAATAATGAAAACTTATTTATGTTTATTTAAAGCCCCCAACTTATTTTTAAAAATCTCAAACATACAGAATAACCTATGCACTCTTTACCTAGATTCCCAATTCTGTCACATTTTGAGATAATCATCTTTCACCCACAGTGCTTCAGAATGCATTTCCTAACAGGCCATCCCCGCATCAGACACTCAACACAATGTTCATGCTTGGAAGTTTTTTCATTGATGAGATGCTGTGAGCCAGTACCAAGTCCATATTCAAATTTCCCCGATAACAACCTTTACAGGCGCCTTTTCTTGTTTTCTGCCTGGGGTTCAGAGTTTGCATTCGTTGTAATCAACAAAAATTTGACACTTTAAGCAACAAAATTTTTAACTCAAAAACTTTGGATGTGAGTCTGTCTTAAAAGACCCCATTTCTCCTTCACAGGAGAATCCTGAACACACAGAATCCTTTGGAAGAGGCAACGATGCTGTGACTCTGAACCGCAGCTGTGCTCAGGGTAGCGCTAAGGGCTCGATGGGGGTTGAGCTCATCGACTTAGTTTTTCGCTCTTGCTGTGACCTGTCAATCTTTCTGTAAGTGACCTGTTTGTGTGTATGTGTCCTGGTACATATTTAGTGTGCAGAGGCCCAGAGAACAGCCACCTGGGCATTTGGGAATTGCAAGTGCCGTCACTAGGAGGGGGGGTGTGGGAGTGTGGTGGGTACATATGAGCAGTTGTGCTGTTTGTGCCGTTAGAGGTTGGGGAGCATTTGGGCAAAGGCCTGAGGCATGAAGGGATCATGGTGGAAAACTCGGGAGTGTTCCAAGAGGGAGGGGATGGGCACAACACAAAAGACCCCAAGAACATGTTTGAACAGAAAGCAGCTCGGCCAGTATGAGCGGGCGGAGGTGAGAGGCACAGGTGAGACGCCCAAAGGCCCGGGAGGCTGTGGTCAGAACTACTGTCACTGCCAAGGGGAAGTCATTGCAGGGTGTTGGGAGGGCAAAGAAATGAGCCCCTCGCAGCATGACACCCACACCTTCCTCTCCAAGGGTCCTCCTCCCACCTGGGGACGTGGGACTAACCTCATACACGTGAACCTGGCTGCCGGATAAATCCCCTCCATACCAGCTCCTTCTCCCACCAGGAAAGGAAGAGAGCTGATTTTCTAGAGTCTCTTCAAAATAATGAGAATATACTTATAAAAATGATCTCACTGCAATTTACTTTTCCTCTTATTAGAGTAGGTGGGTGGCTTCTCATAACCTTCCGAGCCATTGTATTTTTTTAAAAAAATATTTTTATTGATTTCAGAGAGGAAGAGAGAGGGAGATAGAAACATCAATGATGAGAGAACCATTGATTGGCTGCCTCAGGCACAGGCACGCCCCCTCCAGGGGATCAGCCTGCAACCCCAGCACAGGTCCTGACAGGGATTCCAACCATGACCTCCTGGTTCACAGGTCAATGCTCAACCACTGAGCCACACTGACCAGGAGCATGCATTTTCCTTGCTGTGAACTGTTCATAGGCTGTGATGTTTCTTTCTATTGGGTTACTTCCTGTTTTATTGATTCATAAGGACTTTACATCAGTGGTTCCCAAACTTATTTGGCCTACTGCTCCCT